TCCCTTCATTCTCTTCAATTATTCTTTGAATGTGTCATGTGTTTCTGATACTCAAGTACATAATACAATTATATTTTCCTCATATACTTCATATTATCACAACAGCAGGGTAAAATTCTGTTGGGGTTCTCCAATTCTATGGATATCTACTGGGAATTGTATTCAAAAGAAAGCATCTGATAAGTTTTTCACTTTCTTCTGTTGTTCATTTAATCTTGCAAAACATAGGGAAAACCATAAGGGGAAGTGCTACTGTGAAGTGAACTCAGACCAATATTTTGGACAAAGTGTCAAGAGTTTGTGATAACCAAGGCAGGGGATTTTGGGCATGATGAAACATGTGTCCTAAACTTTAGAAAATCAGATTTCAAAAATTCCAGGGAAGAATTAAGGAAGATCCTAGGGCAGTCTCCAAACAGGTCAAGAATGGGATCTTTTCAGAAATTAATTCCTACCAATGCCAGTGAGCAGCAAATAACTGGAGTGCTCATGCTCTCTGAATTCCACTTTAAAAGGACTGGAGAAAAGCAAATGTGGAGATGGGGTATGCAAGTAGCTGAGATCAAATACCCAAGAATTCCCACACCTTTAAGAAGGGTAAAAATCTGGAAAGTTAAAGTCCAGAATTTATAAAAGAAATTAAAGTGCTTAAAAAAAAAAAAAAACTACACTTAAAGCAAGAAGCATTAAGGAAGGGATGGCTTTAGAATAGGAGAGGGAAAAAAACTTGCTTATATGAACAACTGAAGAGATTTTGGAAAGTGTGGAGAACTGCAAGTATGCCAGGAGACTGGAGATAAACAAATGAGAAAGAAAGGAGAAATGATCAATTCTTGGAACTCAGTACAGTGAACCTGACATTGACTCTGGAAAACTTCTCAAATATTAAAGATGGTTTGTAAGCTTTTAGAGAGAGAAGCAATAATAACTCAGAATAAGTAGGACTGAATCATGCTAAACTAAACACATTTCCTTTTTGATGGATCTGCAGTAATTCATTTGGATTTTAGCACAGCTCTCGGGTGGTATTTCTCACTCATGTCCTGATTTTTCTCATAAACTACAGATCTGAATTTGCTAGACATTTCCACATGGATGCTTTGGAGACAATTTTCATTTGTTCTTTGACTAGACAAATATTTGAGCACCTACTGAGTGCTAGACACTCTACTAGGCACTAGGGAGATAACATCAAAGAAAAACCAGATAGGGTCCTTACTCTCATGGAGTTTACATTCTGATGGACAGTACTTTCTTGATTTGGGGACTTTTCCTCAGTCATTAGCTCTCTCCTGCCTTTTCTGAACCACATGTAGTTTTTCTGGGCTACTAGAGTCCTTAAGTGATGGTGGTGGCCACCACCATTAAGAAGGGTAAAAGTCTGGAAGACTTCACTGTCTGTTCTTTCTCTCCTTTATCCTCAGTTTAGAATGATGAGATCAGGCTGCAGTCTTCCTTGGTCAACAGTTGCTGTCAAAAATCAAGCACAAATCAAGTGCAGGGGCTTGGGTGGGACTTATTGAGCAAAGTAAGTAATTTAGTCTAGCCAGGGAGGAGGCAGCTTTTGAACTGTGTTTTGGGAATATGCCCAGAAATGCTATCATGCAGGTTCTATGCAATAGATATTAATTATCTAAATTTCAAATTCGGCTGCCCTACTTCTCCTGCCTCACCTTCCACTTTACTCCTTTAGTCATTACCAGCTCCCACCCACATGCTTCCAAGTCTGTTTTTTGCTCAGTTGATTTTCTCATCCAGGAAGGTCTGACATCTCTTTGTCCACCTATGGAAATCCTACACATTCCTCAAGACCCAGCTCAAAACTGCCTCCTCCCCATCTGGACTGAATTATTTATTTTGCTCAATAACTCCTGCCCAAGCCTCCATGCTTGATTTGTGCTATACTATAGCCACCAGCTGCTCCAAGAAAGGAAAATGGGGCAATCTACTTCCATAAAGATTTACAGCCTCAGAAACCCAATGGGAGTCGCTATGAGTCTGAATTGACTTGATGGCAATGAGTTTGGTTTTTCATAGCACTTAGTTTCATCTTTTCTCACAGTCAGTTGATTACCTGTCTTCCCCACTAGAGTCTAAATTCCTGTAGGGCAAGGGTCTTCAGAGGTTCCACCCTGTCTAGTTGTAGTACTTCACACAGGGCTTGGCAATCTAAGGCCTAGAGCTAAGAATGGTTGAAATAAGATCAAAGCAGAATAACATTTCAGGAAATGTGAAAATTACATAAAATTCTTATTTCAGCATCCATATATAAAGCTTTATTTTCTATGACTGCTTTTGAGCTCCAATGGCAGAATTAAGTAGTTCAGAGAGGTCATATAGTCTGCAAAACCTCAACACTTACTATATGGCCAGGGACAGATTATCCAATCAGCAAAGTAAGCAGGCACTTAGGGCATCAACAAAACAGGGTAACCAAAGCAAAGACCAATAGATGCTAAGTAGACAGGACACAAGGAAAAGCAAGTGCCACAGTGGAAGGAAACTGGCAGGGCACTAAATGAAATCGATACCAGCTCTAGAGTGTGAAAAATGTGCCAGCCGGAAATAAAGTTCACACAGGGTCATGAAGGCACCACTAGAAAACTTGTTTAAGCTATGAGGCCCCTAGCACTTTAACACCTTTGTTGACATCTGTCCACTCTCATGTAATTGAAACTCTTTATCTTCGTGGGTCTGTTGGGAGGATACCATTTCTTTCTAATAAATAAGAGGTGGGGGTGGGCTGTGGAGTCTTACTACATTCACCCAAATAAGCTACTGGATCCCACATGAGTGGTTACTGGGTAACAAATGTAAAAAAATACTGGGAATATTAATATTTATCTAACATGAAATGTTTTAATTTATGTATTGAGTTTCATTTTTTATTGTCTGTTGCATGGGACACAGTACTTGATAGTACTCATTTCTTCATTTATAACATTTATTAAGAAACAAACATCAATGTGAAGTATGAGCCTTGGTGAAAGTCAATTTTTCATTGTGGGAGATCAACAGAATTTTATGTCAATTGTTAAAACAACTAAGTTCATTGACTCATTTTCTTTGTTGTAGAGTATGTGGAATACTGTTTTTGTAGATAAACCAAAAACCAAACTCACTGCCATCAAGTCAGATCCGACTCATAGCGACTCCTCCTTGGATTGCCCAGGCAGTGCCTAAGGCACTTGACTGCTAACCAGAAAGCTGGCAGTTCAAACCCACCAGCCACTCCTCGGAAGGAAGATGGGGCAATCTACTTCCGTAGTGAT